CCCAAACTTATGGTTCTTACTTTGTTGTGCTTGTTGATAGATTGTTGTTTCTTCTCTGTTCTGCTACGCTGCCAGTATCCTGTTCTTCTTCTTTTCTATTGTTCCATTATTCGATTCTTCGACTATTCTATTTATTAGTCTATTGTTCTATTCTTGTTTTGTTCTGCTATTCTAGTATTCGGTTATACTCGACCGCGAGGAATCGAAGAGCCAGTCACTTCTGCACTGCAGTGATTCTTGGCTTCCGGGCCTTACTTGGGCCCTTCAACTGACCCCAAACCCTAAATTTGCATGCCGCTGGCGGTGCTCGACCGCCCGGAATCAACGAATCCCTTCTGCACTCTGGTGATGCTTTGCTTCCCGGGCCCCCAACTGACCCCACATTTGCATGCCGCTAGTACTCGACCGCCCGGAATCAAACCCTAAATTTGCATGCCGCTAGCGGCACTCGACCGCCCGGAATCCAAATATCACTTCTGTATTGTTGTGATTCTTTGGGGCCTTTCTATATAAAGCCTGCCAGTCAGCCAATCAACCGATCGGTCGATCGACTGAGCGGCACCTTTCTCAGCGACGGGTTTGTATGACCTGCTCTTCTCTAATTCTGTTCCATGTTTACTCTCCTTGTAGGTTTCTCCCTTTACCATACGGCAAAAGCCCCGGCGTAAAAGCAAATCTTCAAGCTTGCATGAGCAATGTAGCTCCCGCGAGTCAACGCAAAAAACATACAGACCTCTCTTCCCATTCCTACGCTTGTTCTTACGATGTTGTTCTTACTGGTATTCTCTGTCTTTTGATCTTCTCATTCGTGGGGTGTAGGGCATGGCAGCACACGCACGGCGCGCGCGGATGCGCGCGCTATCCCTCCCACAACCCCACTAGCGGACCTTCTCGCACAGAAACTCTGACGCCGGCTGCTCGTGCACGCCCTTGCCTGGATCCCTGATGGCTGTATGTCACCTCAGTATCCCTATGTCTCCCTGCCAGTCTGAAAACCCGCTAGCTCGTCCTCTGCTTGCCTGTGTCTTCCGACAATTCCGTGCCCAGCTTGCACACAGTCATGGAGCCGTTGGGAGAGCTCGAGCGCTGGGTGAAAGAGCGGTCGGGGGCCAGTTTCGGGAGCCAACGTGGAGACCCAGAACTGGGATACTGCAAAGCAGGAGTCGCGGGAGGCCCTCGAAGAGGGCGGCGGGCGCGGCCAGGGAGGCCGGGTCGACCGCGAGCGACTGCGACCGCGAGCTGAGAGCCAAGATGGCGGTACGCCGGTACTGTGTGCAGCTGCCAGGCACTGGTCTGCCAGGTAAGCCCGAATTCTCTCAGCACCATATTGAGCAAGCCCGGAATCACCCCCTCGGTCTTCGTGTCGTTCGTGTCCTGAGGAGCCGCTTCGTGGCCCAGCGATGTTCAGCGGTTCACCCACCGGGTGGTCCATGGCCCGTGACGTGGTGGCGTTGGGATGGCAGGCCCAGCTCTCTTCCGCCCCCTCATCGTCTTCTCCATGTCGGGGGGATGTGTCAGCTCTGGTAGCTCTGAGGATGGTAGGCCCAGCACGATGATCTGGTCTGGGTCTGCTCTCCTTAGATCTGTCATGGTTTCTTCAAGGGCCTGGCCGGCGGCAAGTATTCTCCATCCCTCATCTTTCAACTGCTGACACCAGTGCCCACAACTGTCCGCGCTACGGCCGGGTAGTTCTCTAAATTGCGGTCATTTTGGGGGTCCTTCTTTTAAGCGTGCCGTACTATAACACTATATAAGTCACCCAAAAAAGGACCCGAATTTACAGAACCACCCAGCAGATTCAGCGGCTGTAAGGTTGAGGGGTTTAGGGGCTTAGGGCACACTAAAGGCGTTCCAGCAAAGAAATATAGGGGGTTGCAACGATTGCCACTATCATTCCTTTCTGGTCTCTAAAGAAATATACGCACAATAACCCCCCGTAACCAATTCTCGAAACCCTATCGAACTATTAAGATTACCAAAAACTATTCCCTTGTGGCCCCTATAAACCCTAAACCCTAAACCCTAAACCCTAAACCCTAAACCCTAAACCCTAAACCCTAAACCCTAAACCCTAAACCCCCCTATTCTAATCCTTTTGGCCCCCAAAGTACCAGGCCTTGGCCTCCATGATCTGGTAGCTCCGTCTGCCGCCATTTGGGGAAGCAACTGTGGGCTTTAACGAAGTGTCGTTTAGGGTTTAGGGTTTAGGGTTTAGGGTTTAGGGTTTAGGGTTTGGGGTTTGGGGTTTAGGGTTTAGGGTTTCGGGTTTAGGGTTAGGGCTGAGTGTCGCTTCTTTTGCCAAGGATTCTCAAAACAGGTCAGCCATGGGGGTTTCCGAAAATAGGGGACCCCAACATAGGCCCACAACAAGTAGGATCCCCTACAAGGACCCCAGTAAGGTACCCCTAATATCGTACATCCCCACATCTCTCCTTGTACCATAAAATCACTTGACTGCCCCATGTTCTCTAATGCTGAAGCCGGACACACGCAGCAGGTTAAAGCTGCTTGGGCAGACGGGCTATTTAGTCTGGGCCAACTGCGGCAAAAGCACGGCAAAGGTAAACTGTTGTTCAAGAGCGGAAGGAAAGGTTGGGGGAAGCTGCGCCAAGATACACGCAGGGAAGCTTGAAGTAGAGCTCTACTGGCTAGCCGACAAGTCTGCGCGCGCGCAGCCCTTGCAAGATTCCATGCCGAACCAGGCGACTGATGAAGAACATTAGGGTTTAGGGTTTAGGGTTTAGGGTTTAGGGTTTAGGGTTTAGGGTTTAGGGTTTAGGGTTTAGGGTTTAGGGTTTAGGGTTTAGGGTTTAGGGAGGGTCTACAGCAAAGCAAGCATGTCATACTTCTGGGGCTTTTGAGGTGCGAGTGCTTTGCAGCATGCATCTGCAATTCAAGAGCCACCAATCACTCGTTGCTAAGAAGGTATCTGCAAGCCCAAGCAACCGGAAAGTCTGGTGACTCAGTGGTACCGCCCGAAACCCTAAACCCTAAACCCTAAACCCTTATTACATTAATACATTAGTACATTAGTACATTATTACATTATTGCATTATTACATGATTACATGATTACATGATTACATGATTACATTATTACATGATTACATGATTACATGATTACATTATTACATTCTTACATTATTACCTTAATTATTACATTATTACCTTATTACATTATTACAATTTTCATTATTACATTATTACATTATTACATTATAACATTATTACATTATTCCATTATTATTACACTATTACATTATTACATTATTACATGACTACATTGCGGCACTCACCCCCCCCCCCCCCTCCCCCTTTTGTCGCAGGCACGCTGTCATCAAGTGAGAAGCAGCTCGGACTTCATAGGCCTGGCGATTGCGGAAGTGCAAGTAAATGGCTTCATGGTGTCCCAGAAACTAAGATTGGTTCCTATCCCTAAACCCTAAACCCTAAACGCTAAACCCTCTATACGCCTGTCCAGACAACACTGAATGTAGCTGAAAGGACGCGCACGTGTGGAGCAGCGTTTCGGACAGTACTGTCATAGACGTGATCCCGTCTCTGGTCATCGCTAGAAGCTTCATTTGATCTCAGGGCTTAGGGTTTGGGGTTCAGCGCTCAATCCGTGCGCCCGCTGATGTCTTGTTAAGCTATCGTTCCTCTTCGCCTTTTTTGCATCTGCTGGCAACAAAGCTCGGCCCTACCACAACAAACTCCCTCCACTGCGACCGAAACATGGCAGGCTTTTGTTGCCACTGTTGAACAACGTGCTGGCACTGGATACCGAACACTTCGGCAGAAGTCTCCGAAACTGTCATGAGGCTGCGGGTATTAGCTGCTAAAGTGATTGAGGCACTTGGGCTAGAACGTGTCTCCCTCTCAACTCAGCTGTGCTCAGAACCACAGGGCCTGGATGGAAGGCCTCACCGAGTTGAGGTCTGCGGGTTTAGGGTTTAGGGTTTAGGGTTTAGGGTCTAGGGTGTAGGGTTTAGGGTATCGAATAACCGAAGAAGACTTTTTTAAAACCAACTCATTCGACAATAAAGCAGTAGATAGTCAGATAACAAGATAACAAGATAAGAACTTAGATAATAAGGGAGTAAACGAAGAAGAATAGTAGAATAATAGCATAAGAATGATAGAATACTGAAACATGGAATAGTAGAATAATGGAATAATAGAGCAATGGAAGAGTAGAATGATAAAGTACAAGAAAAATAGAATAAGAGAATAGTAAACAAATAGAATAATGGAATAATGGAATACTAGTAATACATAATACCATAATATCATCATGGAATAATATAACAATCTCGTAATATAACATCATAAACAAACCAAATGATGCTTTAGTACTATGCTACTATTTTGCTTGTCTACTCCTAACCCCTAAACCCTAAACCCTAAACCCTAAACCCTAGACCCTAGACCCTAACCCTAAACCAAAACCCAAAACCCAAAACCCAAAACCCTAAACCCTAAACCCTAAACCCTAAACCGTAGCCTCCAAACAGTGAGACACCATGTGAGCTCCGAATGCCCAAAAGCGCCGACAGCTGCGCACTTGGGCAGCCCCAATGCCCAAAAGCGACGGCATCTTCGCATTTGGCGAACACCGGTGCCCAAAAGCGATTTAGGGTTTAGGGTTTAGGGTTTAGGGTTGAGGGTTGAGGGTTTAGGGTTTGGAGTACGGCGAGCCCGAAAAGCGCGCAGGCTTCGAGAACGCGTGGTCCAGGCCGCCGTAATGCTACAACTACCGGAATGAATCACAAGATGATAAAAAGAATACAATAAGAAGAATAAACGGACGACAATCATGTAACAATACAATGAACATCAGAACATGCTTAAAATATATATATAACGAGCAGCTTTATTTCTTAGAGTACAAACAGTAATGTATTCCTCTACTAAAAACAATACACTAACAATGATGCAATACTGCGCTTCTATTGTGACAGCTTCAATGCGCCCAGCCTGGGAGTCAAGACCTGCTCGATCTACCGCTCGCGCTCGCGATCTCTGTCCTTAGTCTCACCAGGCGCCAAACTGGGGTTTCGGGTGGGTTTAGGTTTCAGGCTTCAGGGTTTAGGGTTTGGGGTTTGGGGTTTGGGATTTGGGGGTTGGGGTTTGGGGGTTGGGGTTTGGGGTTTGGGGTCCCGCTGAACGCAGCAAAAAAAATATGGCCAAGCTACGCGATCCCGATCCCGCCGTTCGCGATCTCGATCTCGATCTCCTTAGCAGTGGCATCATAGTATGATAGTATTGTAGTATTCTAGTCTTATAGTATTCTAGTATTCTAGTATTCAAGTATTAAGGTATTCCAGCATTAGAGCATTAAAGTGCTATAGTGTCATAGTATTGTACTCTTATGGTACTATGGTATCATGGCATTATGGTACTACAGTTAGTATGGTATGATAGGAGTGGATTGTGCTGGTGGGAGCCCTTCACAACTGAGAACGCATCATGCCATGTGGGCGGTTTAGGGTTTAGGGTTTAGGGTTTAGGGTTTAGGGTTTAGGGTTTAGGGTTTACGGTTTACGGTTTAGGGTTTAGGGTTTAGGGTTCAATATCGGCTCGTACTGCGTTGCTCTCCAAGACACGATCGCGGTCCCGCTCTCTACCTCGATCCCTGTGCTGCGTGCGCAGTCATGAGAGGTCATTCTAGTATTATAGTATAGTATACTAGTATTAGGTATTCCAGTATTTGAGCATTATAGCATTACAGTGCTATAGTGTTATAGTATTGCGGTCTTATGTGTGTGTTGGGACTCTTCAGCTTCTGGTACAGGTGCAGATCAAGCTTAGGAACCTGCTATCCCACAAGAAGCATGCAAGATGCTTTCTGGCCGAGTCGGGTATCTGCAGCCATAAAGGGCTTCCGGAACAGCATGCCAGAAACTCGCGCCTGTCATGACGACCGCCTCTGGCTTCGTCTCGTCCTCCTCTCTGCCGGCTTCGACTGCGGTCCCGCTCCTCCACATTCTGCCCAATGCCTAAAAAAGCCTCAGCATGCGATGTAGAACCCTTATCATAGGAACCCCAAAACGGCACCCCCGAATTGTCGGAAGCTCCCATGTCGTTGCAGCGTGCTCCTTCTTGGAGTCCCGCAGCTCCCTCTCATGTACCTGCACAGCTTCAGGATCGGAGCATCTGAGGGTTTAGGCTGACGACCAACGGCGGAAGATGACAAAATGAAGCACACTTAGAAGCAAGGTTCTAAGTACCCCAAATAAGGCTAGAACCCTTCTGAGTCCAGTTACCCTAAGCCCTAAACCCTAAACCCTAAACCCTAAACCCTAAACCCTAAACCCTAAACCCTAAACCACTTGTAGTGTTCAAAGACACTAGACCACGCCTTGCTGCCGATAGCCGGCGCGTACTCCGGATCCTACCGAGGTGTTGAAGGATCTGCTTGCTGGCTCTTACATACAGGTAGGGTTTAGGGTTTAGGGTTTGGGGTTTAGGGTTTGGGGTTTAGGGTTTAGGGTTTGGGGTTTAGGGTTTGGGGTTTAGGGTCTGGGGTTTAGGGTTTAGGGTTTAGGGTCTAGGCTATCTGTCAATATGGTCCCCCACCCCCGACCCATCCATGGACCAACCTCGAATACATACTAGTAACAGCTACAGACACTACATGTTCTGATGCGTTCCATGTATTTCTGACCAGTATCATTTCCATCAGATGTAAGGGCCACCTTTCAATGCGTGCAAAGCCTACCAAAAAAGTACACATATAGACACGAAACAGCACACATTTAGCAAATTGCCCGAACTTGTGCCACTTTTGGCCAAGCTTGTGCTTTTCTTTGCCTTTCCTAGGCGGGCTGGGTTGCACAGATCCCAAAATTCAAAAATCAAACCAGCCAAAAACCCAAAGATCCAAAAACCCAAAAGTAAGCTCCTAACTTTGCTGGAAAAAGCTCCGAGGAAGGTTGGGTTTTGAAGTTTTTGAACTTCTGGATGTGTGGACTTGCGACAACGTGCCCCAATCAGACTTTCATTAATGTCCTAACTACACGAAAAGTGAACATTGCATGAGTAGGATTCTGAATCGCGCATGCAATAAGAAGTTGAATACAAGTTTTCTGTATATGAAAACCGTGAGAAAGTTTCATGATTTAAATCCCGGAAAGAGCATGTTCGTAGGACTTTGTTCATGAGGCGTGAACAGAAGAATGATTTTGTTAACTATGTTTTAACGTTTGCGCTGACTATGAAAGAAGCTAAAAAACAGTTTAAAACCAGCATAAGAAGAAGTTTAAGAAAGTTTCTATTTCACGAACACCCTGACCTTCTCGAGCAATTATAACACTCTATGACCCACCTGTGAGTTCTAGTAGCCCCTAAGGCCCTACATCCGTCTCATTAGTTAGTGTCTTAACGACTCGAATGAAGATTGTATCCTACATGGCCTGCTCAAAACACCAAGAAGATTTTGAATACAAGCGCCCATGGAAGTCAGATGTTCTCACAGCTTCGGTTGAACTCTTATTTCTATCTTGCATATGGAGCCCCTGTAAGCATCTCATCTAAATCTCGGAAGTGTCCATTTCTGTGGGGAGAAAGGATACTTCGTTGCTTGCCGGAGATGCCTGATCTCTGAAATATGTTTTGCTGGAAGTATGGAAGCGTTTCTGTTGCGAAGGGGCCCCTTCCTCCCTCCACCTCTCCCCCTCTTTGCTCCTCTACAAAACCCAGGTTCCAAACGTCCTACAATTCCTGGTTCTTTGGATGTCTGCATCTAGTGGGAGGCCTCTCTCTTTCTCACGGTCATGGAGAAAAATTTCCGTGTTTTTTTTTTTGGGGGGGGGTGGGGGGGGGGGGGGGGGGCAGGGCTGCGCAGGGCGCTAGCTTGGAAGGAAAGCCCAGGCCCTTCTCCAATCAAGACTCCCAAAAAAACCCCAAGAATCCGAAATCCAAGCTTTTCCAGGAGATCTTCCGGCGAGGTTTGGATTTTGGGGTTTGTGCAATTCAGTTTGCCCAGGATTGCACATATAGCTTTGGGAAGAAATACCTAAATTTGCGTTTTGCCTCGCTAAGTTGGTGCTTTTTAGAAGCTGGCCAATGCAAATGGAAATCCACAAATCCCAAATCCAAACTTTCCTGGAAGAAGCTCTGGGAAAATTTACGTCTGAGGATGTTTGGATTCTCTCTGTACTTCTAGCATTTCAGTTTGGTCCCTTGGGGGAGTGAGTGGGAGGGGGGCCGGGGCGAGTATATACACACATACACTTATATATCTATACATGTATGTATACATACATACATACATACACACACATCCATCCATCCATCCATCCATCCATCCATACATACATACATACATACATACATACATACATACATACATACATAATGTAAACATATAATGTATGTATATAAACATATTCACTAAGGGATTATCATGTTGGGTACCTCATTCCGTATTGTGAACCACTTGGACTGCAGTTTGGGCGGAGGCCTAGGTCACTGATACAAGTAGCAACCCATGTGAAATGGATTCTGTGTGGTGCGCGGTGTCTCGGGCGACTTTATCCATCCTGTTTCGCGCTTACCGTGCGTCATTGGGCGTATGACTTATCAGACCTCTGTCTTCAGGTACGCAGGGGGCGCACGAAACTTCCTGTACCCTGCAAACGTCAGTCTTGTAATGAAGCCTCAGGAACGAAGTCCTTTAATAACAATAAGCATAATAATCATAATAATAATTATCATTATTATTATAAGAATAAAAATCATAATAATAATAATAATAATAACAATAAGCATAATCATCATTATAAGAAGTAGAAGAAAACAGAATAAACGTCCTTGACGGGTTTGCCTTCCCGGAGGTCCCGAAGCCTTGCGCATGGGGCTCCGAGTATTGAAGGTTTAGGTTTAGGGTTTAGGGTTTAGGGTTTAGGGTTTAGGGTTTAGGGTTTAGGGTTTAGGGTTTAGGGTTTAGGGTTTAGGGTTTAGGGTTTAGGGTTTAGGGTTTAGGGTTTAGGGTTTAGGGTTTAGGGTTTAGGGTTTGGCGCCTGCTGATGACAAGAAATCGCATCATCCCAACAAGCAAGCTGCATCTCAAGCGAACGCAGTAAACAAATTCAAAAAGCAAGCCGTTGAGCAAGGCCCATTTCCCCAAAGTTGATCACTTTCACCTTATCGCTTCCCCCTCTACATAAAGCCTATCTTGTCACCACGTTGCCTTCAAGCATCACGACCCGCGAAAGATTACTGAATCCAGATCAGGAGCATCATCATGACCAGTGACGAGGGCTTGTTGGACCGCTCCAGATGCCTTGGAGAGGGTTTAGGGTTCAGGGTTGAGGGTTTAGGGGCTTCGGGTTTAGGGTTTAGGGGCTTAGGGCTTAGGGCTTAGGGCTTAGGGCTTAGGGTTTAGGGTTTAGGGTTTAGGGTTTTGGGTTTAGGGTTTAGGGTTTGGGGTTTTTTGGTTTAGGGTTTAGGGTTTAGGGTTTAGGGTTTAGGGTTTAGGGTTTAGGGTTTAGGGTTTAGGGTTTAGGGTTTAGGGTTTAGGGTTTAGGGTTTAGGGTTTAGGGTTTACGAAACTGCGGCTGCTTGAGAGCTAGCTTCGCAGTTCGGAGACAAAGGAATCCTGGGGCCGTGGCTTCTGGAGCTTGGCCAGGTCGCCATCCACGTCGTCCCGGTTTTGCAGAACCTGCGGGATGCTCTCTATTTAAAAGTAACAGCCCTAAACCCTAAACCCTAAACCCTAAGCCCTAAACCCTAAACCCTAAACCCTGTGTCGCCTTCGGCCTAGGGTTTCGGGTTTCGGGTGACAGCGGGGTGGGGCGGGGCCCATGTCAAGCTTGAAGGCCACAAAACGTAAACGCTAGCGAAGCTCGCGGACTTTGGTCATCGTTGGCCATCATTGGCCCCTATGTCGGTTCCATCCCAACCCTCGACCCCCTCAACCCTAAACCCTAAACCTAAACCTTGAACCCTGAATCCTAAGCCCTAAACCCCAAACTAAGCCCTAAACCCTAAATACCCTAAACCCTAAATCCTAAACCCTAAACCCTAAACCCTAAATACCCTAAACCCTAAATACCCTAAACCTTGGACCTGGAACATGGTTCGGGCCTCCGCCAGCCTCACAGCGGCCTGGGCATCCAATCGATTGCGCTTGGCGAAGTCTTCAATCTGGCAGGGAGCTTGGCAATAGGGTTTAGGGTTTAGGGTTTAGGGTTTAGGGTTTAGGGTTTAGGGTTTAGGGTTTAGGGTTTAGGGTTTAGGGTTTAGGGTTTAGGGTTTAGGGTTTAGGGTTTAGGGTTTAGGGTTGCCACGGAACTAAAGCTAAATTTTGGGATGACAGAGGGATTATACTACCCTAAAACATGGCTAAGGTTACCTACTCAGTGGAGCACTAGCAGCTCAGAGCGCTGATTGTCCTGGAAGGGCTGCAGCCGAAAGATTCTTGTGGGGTCTCTAGATGTTGGCAGTGGCCCAAGCAGTTTAGGGTTTAGGGTTTAGAGTTTAGGGTTTAGGGTTTGCAGGGTTAGGTCAAAGATGGGTTTCAGGCTTGGGAAAGGCCTTGTCTTTGGGTGCACGAAGAATTGCTCATCGAGGATTGCCCCGTGAACACACATACACGGCAATTACGTATGCCAATATCATGCACCTCCGCTGGAAACCAGAATCGTAGCGTACTATATGACAAACTATAATATGTGTATAATCTCGTGTTCACAGTCATACAAGAAGCTGCTTGATCATCCTACGATGCGTGATCGTGATGATCGGGGGGGGTCCTTCTTGTCCAGTGCCGACATGCCTTTGAAAGTTCCCGCTTTCATGTCCTTGAGCTTCATCATTAACATTCCTTCAGGGGTCTGGGCACTGAACTCAGTCCGGTGGCCGAAGCAACTCTCAAAGTCTCAAACGCGCCACGGGCAACGCACACCCCTCCTGCAGGGTTCTTTGCCCTTTCCAAGCCCACCCAGAGAGCTTGCATGTCCGACTCAAACCTGGGAACCGAGGCACCACCATGCTCATCATGTCACGAACCGCCATGACAAATGCTCAGACGTCCTCGCTCCCTATGATTCTGCCAGGGCGCGTGTCTTTTCGCCTCTTCATCTCCTCATCGAGCAGGCGCGTCACCCGCTCATCTGCCAGGGAGCGGTTGCTCAGTGCTTCGGAAGCTTTCAGCTATCTGAGAATGTGAGTCCCCGCACCCCTCACCCTGCCTAAGCCGTGATACTCTGCAAGTTCGGCCACTTGCGGATCAATGCCAGCACTCTTTATCTGCTCGTACTCAGAGGCCACCTGCTGGAACCTGGACTGCCAGGTCTGCGCACACAGCATCAGCGCCACAGCCCTAAACCCTAAACCCGAAACCCTAAACCCTAAACCCTAAACCCTAAACATCCCTAAACCCTAAACCCTCAACCCTAAACCCCAACAAAAGCTTATCCGTAGCCCTTGAAGATTCTTAAACCCTCCAGACCTGGCCTGAGCTGCGCCAGCGCCTCCGTGTCAAGAGAGCCCGGCGGCGGCATTGCCGGAGGGGGCGCCATGCCCGGGAGCACTGGGAGACCTCCCAGATGTGCAGAGCTTCAGAGTTAGAGTTTAGGGTTTAGGGCTTAGGGTTTAGGGTTTAGGGTTGAGGGTTGAGGGTTGAGGGTTGAGGGTTTAGGGTTTAGGGTTTAGGGTTTAGGGTTTAGGGTTTAGGGTTTAGGGTTTAGGGTTTAGGGTTTAGGGTTTAGGGTTTAGGGTTCCAAGTATCTTTGCCGCTATGGATATGTGAGCTACCTCCACCCTTTACGCCTCCACCGTTGCAGAACCAGCCATCGTGAACTCCAACGATTTCACTCGCACAACTCCATACAGGCTCTAGATGCATCCTCTAATCCACTGGCACAAACCCCAAACCCCAAACCCCAAACCCCAAACCCCAAACCCCAAACCCCAAACCCCAAACCCCAAACCCTAAACCCCAAACCCCAAACCCCAAACCCCATAAACCCCAAACCCCAAAAACCTGGCCTAGACCCAGCCCCGGTGCGGGAGGCATCTTCGCGCCACCGAGGCAGGGTGGAAGCCCCGGCTGCGAAGGAGGCACCCCTGCCCGTTCAGGGTTTAGGGTTCAGGGTTTAGGGTTCAGGGTTCAGGGTTCAGGGTTTAGGGTTTAGGGTTTAGGGTTTAGGGTTTAGGGTTTAGGGTTTAGGGTTTAGGGTTTAGGGTTCTGAGTTCTGGGTTCTATCAAGATTGATCATCGCTTCATATCTCGCTTAGCTTGTTCTACCTGAACCTAAACCCTAAACCCTAAACCCAAAACCCAAAACCCTAAACCCTAAACCCCGCGTCTTGCGAGGTCTCGAGGTGTGCCTGGTGGCATCTGAAGACCCAGGCCCGGCACGGCAAGTCCAGGGCCCGGCCCCCGGGGATCGAAGGCCGCCGCCAGGCCGGGCGGAAGGAGGCCGGCTGGGGGCCAGCCGGGCGCTTTCGGAGGCACGACGGTGGGCAGCCCGGGTATCCCCGGAGGAGGCAGTCCCGGGCCGGCTCCTGGGGCTCCTGGAGCTAGGGCTGGGGGTGCCGGGGCTCCTGGTGCTGCTCCGGGCAAGCCTGGAAATGGAAATCCTGCGCCTGGATCAAGAGCTCCTGCGCAACAAGGGCTCTCATCTCTATCTCTTATTGAGTCAAAGCAATTTTGCTTCAGTCCTGGTACGGGTGCCAGGCCTGGTGCATCGAACTCACCAGCACCTTCCTGTGCAAGTACTTGCGCATCAATGGTTTTGGGCCAGGGTCGGGTTGAGCAGGGTATGTTGACGTAGACACCCTCCCCACTTCCGATTCATGTCTTTGAGCCGAGAAGCTCCAGGACCGCGTTTCCGCCCCATGGCTTGATGCTGCGCCCCACAATCTGCTGGCTGGGGACTGCCGTGTTTGTTTTGCCGTGATGTGCATGAGATTGTGGTGATTTCTGTAGACTGTGGGTGGCTCTTAAGTTCCTCAGGCCTCCATGTACATCGACAATCTTCTGCACAGTTTGCGCGCTCGTGTGATACTTGGGGCCGCCGGTGGCAGAGTTCATGCGCCCTTGAGCCAGCAACGGCACATGCCCCAAAACAGAAGCTATCCTGAAGCATACAGCATCGGAATGCTTTAGGGTTCAGGGTTCAGGGTTCAGGGTTTAGGGTTTAGGTTTACGGTTTAGGGTTTAGGGTTTAGGGTTTAGGGTTTAGGGTTTAGGGCTTTTCCCAGAATTATCCACTTTCAGGACCGTTGAATCTGGCCTGGCCAAGCATCGCCATGTCACCGCGCAGCTTCAGCTCTTGCAAAGACGTCGGGGTGCTCTGCTTGAAAACTCTTTGAGCCAATCTCAAAGGCTGCAAGGTTTGGTCACAGACTTCGAGGCTGAGAAAATTGGAATTTGTGGGCGGCATGGTGCAGCACTTGATCGTCCGGTTGCATGTGATTGTGCTTGCATGAGCCCTGCAAGAGCCGATCAGGATTTCAGCTGAGTTGCCCTAAACCCTAAACCCTAAACCCTAAACCCTAAACCCTAAACCCTAAACCCTAAACCCTAAAACCCTAAACCCTAAACCCTATGGGAGAACCCGAGATTGCAGCCCCAAGTTCCCTCAGCACAGGCTTCGCTCAGTTGCAGAGCCCAGCAACCTTTTCAATCAATCGATGTGGCGTTGGACAAGAATTGAAGGGCTCGGCATCCATTGTGGATAATCGATGCCTGGAACCTCCCGACTTTTCTGAAGCACGCTTAGATGCAGTGAGTGCTAAGCTGCACAAGTTCACACAAGCCGCTGGGCTTCACCAAAACCCTAAACCCTAAACCCTAAACCCTAAACCCTAAACCCTAAACAACTGTTGCTTAGAGGTCCAAGACAAAGCCCTCGTTTTGCGGAGGATTCAAACAATTTGCGCGAGAAGTGAACTTCGGCGCAAGACGGGCCTCTGAGACTGCTGCTTTCCAACTGAAGTGAGGGAGACTCACCGACACTTCTCTTAGAACCTTCATAAAGATAATGTTTCTAACATGCTCTTGGGTTTTATATGAACAAAAATAACATCATTCCCATGGGGGATGTAGTCAACTTTGACAACATGAAAGATTTGAGAATGGTAGGAGGCGATCTGCAGGGGCGGGGATATTGGGCTCAGATTGAAGAAGTGCAGGCTTCAATAGGAGGGCTTCATGTGCTTCACCTAGGTGTTATAGCGCCCACGTTTCGCAAAGCCAGCAGCTCTCGCTCGTGCGAAGAAGGTGCTGTGCAAGACCGCAAAAGATGTGGCATCGCAAACCATATTGGCACACTATGCACACCTGTCACCGCGTCTCAGGAGCGTAACGTCCTGAAGTCAGGATATGTCGGGATCTCACTAACATTCCGGCATTGTTTTCACGCTCCCCAGTCTACATACCTTTACACCAGCCCAGTTGCAGTTAGTTGCTGAAGGCGTAGCCAACGAAGCCTGGGAACCCGAGCATTGCAGACAAGCGCTGGCCTAGTCCGTGGCGACAGCCTGCTGTCTCCATATTCAGCCCCTCGGCTCGCGGGTTGTCAGGGCTCAAGAATAGTGGGGTTTCCGAATTTAGGGGTCCTGTTTATAAGCGATCCGACTATTTGGGGATCTATATTGGGGGTCCCCTATTTCGTAAACCCCCAGATTGTGGTCTAACTTTGCTCAAGCTCCAGCACAGCGACTCTGCATGGGAGTAAGGAGGCCGCCGCACCCGAAACCAAAAGCGGCGGCTTGTACCTTCTTGGGGTCCTTATTAATATTTAAGGGGACCCTTCGAATTATTTAGGGCTCTATTTTCGGCCTATTTTCGTAAAACCCCCAAGAATGTAGACGCAAATACTAGGATTCCCTTATACTAAGGTCCCCAATAAGGTACCCCTGAATTTCGGAAACCCTTAAACCCTAAACCCTAAACCCCAATCAGAACCAAGAATTTCTAGGGTTCTTAGCACGCTGAGACCAGGGCAACGCCGCGTTGTGCGATGGAGGAGGTGGAAGCTGCTGGGAGCCCCTAAGAGGCACTTAGGGATTGTGGGGTTTAGGGTTCAGGATTCAGGGTTCAGGGTTTAGGGTTTCGGGTTTAGGGTTTACGGGCACACCCGCACTTAGTCGACCTCCGATTGGGGTGGGGGGGCATCATGGTGTTTCAGCCTACTGCTGCGAGCTTCTCCGTACCGCACCCTGCGTGCGTCTAGGGTTTAGGGTTTAGGGTTTGGGGTTTAGGGTTTAGGGTTTAGGGTTTAGGGTTTAGGGTTTAGGGTTTAGGGTTTAGGGTTCAGGGTTCAGGGTTTAGGATCCAGACATACAGTACCCAGGATTGCAGGCCTTTAGCTGCCATAATGCTCTGCGACAGCATCCGCAACTCCGGAAGCCCGGGTAAGAAGCCGACTGTGGCAGCATGGGCAATTGCCTTCCCGGAGAGCTTTGCGCTTCTGAATTAGGGGCCCAAGCTCCTAGGGTTTAGGTTTGGGTTTAGGGTTTAGGGTTTAGGGTTTGGGGTTTAGGGTTTCGGGTTTAGGGTACCCTAGGGACCCAGGGAGCCTTACGGCGTGCTAGCGCATGTGGGGAACTGCACCAGCCGAAGCCCGGATTGATGAGACTGGGTTCATCGTGTTGAAGGCCTTCGATGTCGTATTCTTGCTGCAGCTCATAGCTGATTGTTGGCTTGGCATCGTCCTGCCTGATCCCTGTGCAACAAGAAATGCACAATCCCAACGACAAAGAAAGCCAGCGACTCTCGCGTCACCAAAGCTAGCGTGATCACAGAACGACGCCGCTAGAAGTGATGGTACAAAGCCGCTCTATCAAATCCTTACCTTTGCACTGCCAGAAGACTGGTTCCAGGGTTTAGGGTTTAGGGGGCTCGTGCAAACAAAGCACGGCAGCTGCGAAGGAGGCGGAGGTTGAAGCTTGTGCTGCAACTGGCCTGTAGTGGGAAAGGCAGTTTCCGCTTCAGGGCTGCAGTCAGGCTCACTCTGATGTACTCTGACCTTCATACCAAATCGGATTGACCTACAGAACCTTAGATACAGAACATGAGATACTAGCCCGAAGACTGCGGAAGAGTGCAGGGGTGTTGAGCAGCCCTGCACTAGCTAACAAGTCACTGGCCTGCACATGTCTTGCAGGGAAGGTAATTACCTCACATTCGGGCGATCGCGCTCCGCCCCCTTAGGGGCCTTGGCTACTTTAGACAAGAGCCGTGAAACTCCGAATCAAAAGGTGGGCCAGGCGAAATGTCGATAACCAAGCGGCGCTGTTGGTGCTGGACCTGCAGAGCTTGGCAAGGCACTCAGCTAAACCCTAAACCCTAAGCCCTAAGCCCTAAACCCTAAACCCTAAACCCCAAACCCCAAACCCCAAACCCCAAGCCCTAAACCCTTCAACTTGTGAGGCGCAAGGCTACAAGCAGGCGGATCTCATCGACTCTGAACATCCAACCACTTCGCAAAAAACGACTTCAAAGCCCGGGAGCCCATCCATGGTACCCTAAACCCTAAACCCTAAACCCTAAAACAAAGTGTCCATTCTTGCCTCCTTGGCATGTTGTCCTCAAATACCGCCGCTGGTTCCACACAACTTCGCTCACGCCGGAAGCAGATTCAACACACCACGACTCCTTTTGTGCCATTTCAACAACTCGGTGCAATGTCCGGTCCATGTGTGGAGGGCGGATAAGGAGTAAAGGTTGGGATGTTCCCCCTTATATTACCAGCTCTTAATCGGGATTAGAATATAGGGGGTACGATAATCCCGATTAAGGACTGCTAGTAAAAGGTGCCTCTACAATCGTGCAGTGAGAAAGCAGCTTTGCCCTGCGACTCGAACCTTCTTGATACCGTGGCATAACATAGCTTTCTACAGACTTCGTTAAGCGTGGCGCATGACAACCCACTTGTCCATCATGTAGATTTCACCCGCGAGCGGCGTTTAGATTCTCCAGTCTCAGTAGAACAACATCGCAGGACAGCCTGCCCCAAAAAAGCCTGGTTATACCCTCAGCTGACAAGGTAACTAGCGGGATGTGTACTGTCGGCGAGACATCCCCACAGGGCTGCAGTGCTTCTCGCTTCAGACACAACGGTCAGTTCATGCATAGGTGTTAAAATTATATAGTATAAAATAGAGAATATATAGTACAGAATGCATAATATGTAATATAGAACATACAGTATATAGTATATAGTATATAATACATAATCTCTAGATAGCTCCGTCAACGAACAAAAACACAACCTGGACTTTCAACCTCAGCGCTTGAAGGGGCAATGGGCCTGCTGGACCAAGTACTCCTCCTGTTGCTGCAACCTTGGCCAAGCCATGCACCAGAATCCCAACACTTCATCGTAGACATCCACGAACAGACATGGAGTTCCTAAGACGACTTCGATATCATGTATGCCCAGTCGGATGATGCAAGGAATCCCAAGCCTAAGCCCTGAACCCTAAACCCTAAACCCTATATATATATATATATACATGTGTATATATATATATATACTAATACCCTTTCAGGGATTACACAGGGCATCTCACTCCCTCATTCCCTACTCAGAACCAGCCAGCTAGAAGCCATGCAACATCTTGGGCTGCGAAGTTGAGAGCAACAGTGGAGGAACAGTTTGTGCGCGCGCTGCGTTATCAAAGATATGTAAAGATATGATGCCCCATGTGGCGCTCGCCTTTTGTCAAGGTGAATGCAGCCCGTAGGGGCGAAAAGGATGGCGGTGCTGTCAAGTTGACATGCAGCGATTCAACAACTGCCCTGCGCCCTTTCCTTGGCATGAAGGGTGTGAGCCTAGTCGCAAAGAAACTGGCATCAGTGCTTTGTGTGCTTGGCGCTTCATACGTGTTT